CTCAAACTTGGAGACTGCTTCAGATTCTGTGTCTCCCTCTCTCTCTGCCCCTTGCCCACTCACATTCTTTCTCTCTCTCTCAAAAATAAACATTAAAATTAAAAAAGAAAAAAAAAAGAATCCTTGGCTGCATATTTTTCTGATTCAACACATTGACTATATCCTGCCACTCCTTTCTGGCCTGCTAAGTCTCTGTGGATAGGTCTGCTGTGAACCTGATCTGTCTTCCCTTGTATGTTAAGGACTTTTTTTTCCCTTGCTGCTTTCATAATTCTTTCCTTGTCTTTGTATTTTGTGAATTTGACCATGATATGCCTTATTGGTGGTCAGTTTTGTTGAATCTACTGGGATTTCTCTCTGCTTCCTGGATTTTGATGCCTGTGTCTTTCCCTAGGTTAGGAAAGTTTTCTGCTATGATTGGCTCACAAAACCCTTCTACCCCTTTTTCTCTCTCTTCATCTTCTGGATCTCCTATGATTCGGATGTTATTACTTTGTAATGAGTCACTGAGTTCTCTAATTCTTATATATCATGCTTTTTTGCCTTAGTTTCCCTCTTTTTTTTTTTCCTTCATTTATTCTCCATAATTTTGTCTTCTGTATTGCAGATTTGCTGCCCTGCCTTATCCTTCTTTGCCATGGTGTCATCCATTTGAAATTGCATCTCCGTTATAGCATTTTTAATTTTGTCTTGACTAGATTGTACTCCTTTTATCTCTGCAGAAAGGGATTCTATGCTTTTTTCAACCCCAGCTAGTATTCTTATTATCATGATTCTAAATTCTAGTTCAGACATCTTGGTGATATCTGTGTTATTAAGTCACTGGTTGTCATTTCTTTCTGTTCTTTCTTTTGGAGTGAATTCCTTCATTTTGTCATTTTGGAGAAAGACAAAGAATTAATAAAATAAAAAATTAAAATTAAAAAATTAAAAACAACACAAAAAAATCAAACAAAAGGAAACCAGATCCTAGGTATGTTTTGGTCTGGCTATTGAAAGAAGCTTGATATAATGGAGAAAAAAGGAAAAGAAAAGAAAAAATAAGAAAAATTAAAAAAACTTAAAGATGTATACAATACAATACAATACAATAAAATGAAATGAAGAAAGCAAAATAGAATAAAAAATTTACAAAATAAAAAACATAGTAAAAAAGTTAAACAAATTTTTAAAATATATTTTATTGTCAAATTGGCTAACATATAGTGTGTAAAGTGTGCTCTTGTTTTTGGGGCTAGATTCTCGTGGTTCATTGCTTATATATAACACCCAGTGCTCATCCCAATAGGTGCCCTCCTCAGTGCCCATCACCCATTTTCCCCTCTCCCTCAAACCCCCATCAACCCTGTTTGTTCTCTGTATTTAAGAGTCTTTTATGGTTTGCCTCCCTCCCTCTCTGTTTGTAAATATTTTTTCCCCTTCCCTCCCCCCAAGGTCTTCTGTTAAGTTTCTCAAGATCCACATATGAGTGAAAACATATGATATGTGTCTTTCTCTGACTGATTTATTTCATTCAGCACAATACCTTCCATTTCCATCCACATTGCTGCAAATGGCATAATTTCATTCTTTCTCATTGCCAAGTAGTATTCCATTGTATATGTGTGTGGTATATGTATGTGTGTGTGTGTGTGTGTATATATATATATATACAAAAAATTAAAAAATATAATAAAAAAGTTATACAAATTGCTTTAAAAAGCAGAAAATAAGAATAAATTCTTTCTCTTTCTGTATCCAAGAAAAAGCAAAAAAACAAAAGCAAAAAACAAAACAAAAAACCCCAAATAGATGGACCAATGAACAGAATGAAATCCGAATAACATCCAGTTTCCCTAGAAGTCTAACTATGAAGCACTTTATAGTCCATACACTAAGCCTGTGGATAGATTTATGGTGGTTCTCTAGGGCTTGAGCTTGGTTGGTGTGGTTGGATGGGGTTAACGTAATGGCTGGGTTCTCCACTAGGTGGTGGTGCTTAGCTTACTGGGGTGGATTGCTGTGGCTCGCATGCGCATATATGCACATGCGTGGGAGAGGTGGAAATGGTGTCACCCATCTTCCAGTCTATGGCACTGGAACTCTGCTCTCACCGACCATCAATCAAGTACCCTTCCTTTGTCTCTGGCTTCCATCCACTTCCTTCTTCTACACTGTTCATGTCCAAGCCAGCAGTCTACCAGGTTGCACCTCTCTCCTGAATTATATCTCATATGGGGCTGTGTTTACATTCCCCTCATTTCTGAGAGCCCTGCAGCTTGGACCTGCTCTGACCCTCTGGGGGAGGGTTTCCAGGAGCAATGGCTGGTTGCTGGCTTTGCCTTGGGAATGTTTGTGTGGTTGCACTGTTGCAGAGGTTCAGAGATTGTGGCTGGGTGCATGTTTGCCCCAGAAAAAAGTTCATGTGATCACACAGGAGTAGAGGTTCAGAGATTATGGGAAAGCACAACACACAGCCGGTGCCAGGTTTCACCACACCCTGGCACTTTGGTTCCAATATCAAGAAACATGGCTGTTCTCTGGTGTCCGATGGGACCTTTGCCTGTGGGGAGGTCCTATAGCCTCTACCAAATGTCCTCCAAGCAGGGGAACTTCTACTCCCTGTGTGGCCAATGGATCCCTTGGACCTTGCTGCCTGCTCCAGGGGATTCACTTTTCCCACCAGAGTACCACCAGGTATTGAGCTATGGACTTTCTGACACTGCTCTCCCCTGTTTATAGAGTCCTATTGGTATTGAAACCATCTCCTTTCTCCTTTCTTCCTTTCTTGTTCAGTCACTTTGGGTGTTTCCACTCTTTTTCTTTCTCTCCAGCTGCTTCAGGGGGAGTGCTTTTCCTGTACTCTCCCCACTTTCTCTGTCCTCTCTCTGCAAAAACAGTTCCCTACCCTCTGTGGCTTCTGTCTCTCCAAGTTTACCTGTCTGTACTGTGTACTTGCCAAGTTCTGTGGCTCAAGTTATGCAGATTGTTGTGTTAATCCTCAGATCAATTTTCTAGGTGTGCAATATGGTTTGGTGCTGATCTAGCTACATTTCAGGGACAAGAAAAGCTGAGAAGTTCCATGCTGCTCTGCCATCTTGGCCCCTCTCTTCTATGGGTTTATTTAAAAATTTTTTAAAGTTTATTTATTTATTTTGAGAGAGAGAGAGCAAGAGAGTGCATGGACAGGGGAGTGGCAGAGACAGAGGGAGAAAGAGAATCCCCAGCAGGCTCTGTGCTGTCAGCACAGAGCCCGAGGTGGGGCTCAAACCCACAAACCATGAGATCATGACCTGAGCTGAAACCAAGAGCCCAGCAGTTAACCAACTGAGCCATCCAGATGCCCCTGTAGATTTATTTTGAACTAAGTTAAAGAAATCAAGTAAACAGCACAGGTTGAGATTTATCAAAATATTTTCTGATATCAATTTCCATGAAATTCCATTTTACATGTGGGATTTGGTTCATTTTTAATCCCCATTCAATCTGAGCAGTTACCTTCTATTTTGGCCATCTGCATTTCCTTCATCAGGAAGCATGGAATGAATGGGGCTGGGGGGGCTCTGTGCCTGCTGAGTTGCTTGGTATAAAGTGGTCTTTGCTGATTGTTTCAGTCCTCTAGGGGGCACTCTAGGCTTTGTAAGAAACAAAGACTTTGTGATGGTCCAAGAGTTGAACAGTTGAAGAGAGAACAGAAGTCATGTGACCCAGTCAAATTATAAATAGCAAAGGTGGGGGGGGGAAGGGGGACATTGTTTGCCTAAAATTCATCTCAGGTTTCCAGTTCTGCCATTCCACATAAACTTCAAAAAGGTGGAACCCATATCTCCATAAATACCCTGTGAGGATGACTCTCTGAGCACAAGTACCAGGATAAGAATATTTCTGGGCATTGTGACTGTGGAAGCTCAATGGAAAACATCCTATTACCTGTTTTCCATGGTTATCAATAAAATCACACAAACCCACTGACCTAGAAATTATTTCAATACCCCAGACAGCCTACCTTTTCATTTATCTCTGCTCAGAGTGGAAGCAATGAGAATGAAGAGAAGAGAAAAAAATAAGGAAGAAAAATGGAAGAAAAGGGAGGCTACAATATTTACTTTGACCAGTAGCATGTAGACCAGCAAAAATCAGCTGTGTGGGTGAGCAGGGTGTCCAGGGGTTGCACAAGAGAGGCGGAGAGGTGTATATTAAATCAGAGTGGACATTATACAAACATCTTATTATTCACCAACTAAATTCTGCTTGGAATCATTTTCTGCAGATGGTGACTGTCCATCGTGGTTTCTAGAACTCTCTTGATTTCAAGAAATTATATTTACTTCCACAATACACGCTATCATATAATTTCCCTTTATTAGTATTTTTATATAATTGAATTCTCACATTGTCTATCAAACCATGCAATTTGGGTGATGGGTTACTCTTCCCTGTGATTTTTTCAAGGTTCTGTGTAACCCATTGAGACACTGACTTATACAGAAATATTATCCACTTTCCTCTAACCCACAAATTTCTTACAAAAAGTATTTTCAGGGGAAAAAAAAACTCTTATAACTTCACATATTGGAAATATCGTCCCTACCTCCCTGCACCGTTGGCAAGCACAGTTTTGGATAGATTGCTCTGCAGTCTCTTGGGCCGCTGTGGGTGGAGTTTCAGTTCCCGGACTGACAGGGTTCAGGTGTGATTGGTGCTCAGTGATTCTGGAGGGACGTGGTGACTGTTGACAACACAACTTCTCTGACCCAAGACTCTACACTCTTCAGAGTAGGGGTGAAGGCACATCAGCGACCAGACAAGGAGTCATGAAGAGACAGCGGGGAGCCCTGCTGGGGCTTCTGTGGGTGCAGGTTTGCTGTGAGTGGGGGCGTCCCAGACGGGGGCTGGGGAGGTTCACAGCCCGCAGTGGAGGGGGAGCTGGCACAGAGCTCCTGCAGGGTCTACACCCTCAGCGGGTGTTCCCGGGAATACTTTATGGGTTTGAAAACTGCCTCAGTGGCTCTGCAGTGACTTCTTTTGTGTTTGGTTTTGTCTTTCCAAGCAGGGGTGAGAGGGATGGACGTGGAGCAGACACCTGCAGCCCTGAGCCTCCAGGAGGGAGCCAGCTCTACCCTGAGGTGCAATTTTTCCAGCTCGGTGAACAGCGTGCAGTGGTTCCGACAGAACCACGGGGGCGGCAGCCTCACCCGGCTTTTTTACATCACTTCAGGGATGAAGCAGGATGGGAGGTTGAACTGCACGGTGAACACGAAGGACCGGCACAGCAGCCTGCACATCAGGGCCTCCCAGCAGGAAGACTCAGCCACCTATCTGTGTGCGGTGGAGGCACAGTGCTCCCTGCTGCTCTGCAGCCTGTCCCCAAACTGCAGCTGGGCTCGTGGCCCCAGCTCTTCATGGGGCAGGCACTTATTTGCCCACACAGGAGTTTTTGCACATTTTCATACTTATGTTACAGTACTTTTTTCTCTCCTAAAAGTAACCCATCAGGGCTGTCATTTCACTTTTGCTTTTCTTGCCCTTTTTCTTCCCAGAAAGCCCTTTCCAGGTAAAAAGCTCTACCATGGAACCATTGGAGTAGTTGACGGAGATGCCAATATCCAATGCCCAGTTGAAACATATCTCCTGGCAGCTAGCATATAAATTATATGTAAATTACTCAGAGGGAAAAGGCTTGAAAACATATATGGTCATCAACCATGACCATATGACTAAGAGATGACTAAATTTTTCAGTTAACTGCACATGGTTTTTTTTTTTTTCAAAGAAAATAAAACAGAACGTGTGTAATGTTTTTTAAAGTTTGTATTCGGCTTTTACACTCCTGGAAATACAAATATAATAAAACAATTTTTATTGAAGTTCAACCACTCTACTTAACTTATTACAATTATTTTCTATTTTGGTAAGATAATGCCCTGTAATAAGTACTTTTATTTTATGCACGAATAAGGTGAGGATTTTAAAGCAAAAGTGACTCGGTTGAGGTCATATTATTCCTAAATTAGAGCATCTGAGGTGACATGAGAGCTTATCTGCTAGCTACCTGATGTAGAAGAGTCTTCAGAATCACAAAAGGATTTCTAATGATCAGTTTTTAGAATGTGTTTATATATATCACTGACAAAAGTACCCATTTGTCATTTCTAAATAGCACCTTGGATGGAAGAGCTCATGGAAATTTTCCTTCTGTTCCATTGAAATCCATTGCTTTTCCTTGTGTTTTGAGTGAATATATTACTCATGATTTTGTAGCATCATTCGCCATTAGGGAAATGAAGTATAAATATTCCCGAACTACTCTAAAAGAAACTCTTCTCTGTTGTAGGCAGAGACAAAGACTTCTGACTCCAAACTCAAAGTTCAAACTTGCATGTGGAATAATTAAAACACAAACTGAATTCCAGCTTGCACTGTTTTTTATGTTGATGAAAGGGCGTTGCTAGGAAGCCTTGACAATTATGGTGGACATAAATGGACAGACTCCCAGAAACTGGGTGCAGAGCCAGCTTCTAGAGCATGTGACCTGTGCAATTCCACAGCACTTTGACTCTCAGAAGGAGCCCTGGCCTTGTTTTAATGCTCTGCCATCACTGTCTTGAAATTAAAATAATTTTATCTTTGTACTGGTGTTTTGTAAGTGAAGTCCTGTTAGAGGGTAGAACATATGCATGAGCAGAGGAGGTCCACGGGCAGCAGGACATAGCGTGCGAACACATGCAGGCTCAGGTTCTCAGTCACAGCAGGTTGTGTGTGAGCTGGGCAGTGGGCGGGACCACCTGTTGCGCCTGTGCGTGCTTTGGACTACCTGTGGCTTTGACATGTTGTAAAAGGGTATAGTAGGGGCGCCTGGGTGGCGCAGTCGGTTAAGTGTCCGACTTCAGCCAGGTCAAGATCTCATGGTCCGTGAGTTCGAGCCCCGCGTCGGGCTCTGGGCTGATGGCTCAGAGCCTGGAGCCTGTTTCCGATTCTGTGTCTCCCTCTCTCTCTGCCCCTCCCCTGTTCATGCTCTGTCTCTCTCTGTCCCAAAAATAAACGTTGAAAAAAAAAATTAAAAAAAATAAATAAAAAAATAAAAAAATAAAAAAAAAATAAAAGGGTATAGTAAATTTGGTTGGTAAATTACTACAAAATGGAAGTGTATACATGGCCATTTCAATAAAACAGTTTGGCAATTTCTCACACAACTAAACATACTCTTACCATATGACCCAGCAATGGCCTTCCTGAGTATCTAACCAAAGAGTTTGAAAACTTATGTCCACACACTAACTTGTATACAGGTGTTTTATAGCGGTTTTATCCATAATGGCCAAAATTTGGAAGTAGCATCACGTCTTTGAATAGGCAAATGGGTAGATAAATGGTGGTATATCCAACCAATGGAATATGTTCAGTGCTAAAAATTATAAAAATATAATTCAGAGCTATCAAGCCATGAAGAGATAGGGGAAACTTATATGCATTTTAGTAAGTGAAAGAAGCCAATCTGAAAAGGCTACATATGTTATGATTCCAACTACATGACATTCTGGAAAAGGCAAAACTGTGGAGACAGTAAAAAGATTGTGGTTTCCCAGCTAACATCATCCTCAATGGGGAAAAACTGAGAGCTTTTTCCCTGAGATCAGGAACACGACAGGGATACCCACTCTCACCGCTATTGTTTAACATAGTGTTGGAAGTTCTAGCATCAGCAATCAGACAACAGAAGGAAATCAAAGGCATCAAAATTGGCAAAGATGAAGTCAAGCTTTCGCTTTTTGCAGATGACATGATACTATACATGGAAAATCCGATAGACTCCACCAAAAGTCTGC